TTAAAACTTCAGACCGTATTTTAACCGTAAGTTTTTCTACTTGGGGTAAAAAAGTGGCAAATTAGTTTCTTGCGATTTCCAAACCTTCCCGAGCTAAACAAGACCAAACACGAGCTTTTGCATTCGTGTTGCACGAGCGAACACTTGGTGGAGTCACGATCCACGGGTGAAACTTTCTTGGTTAAGTAGTTCAAGAAGACTGCTGAGATCATCGGTGGTATTGCAAAAATGACCCGCTGTTTACACTCAAGACATTGGAGATCTCAGCATTTTCCTCTCAAAGTCTGAACCTTTCTGTGTCCCTGCCAGCTCCTTTAGCTCCTCTCCCGGCCTATTTCTGCTTCCTAACCGCGTCTTAATCATGGATGTCGCATTCGTTAATCTTGCTACATCTTAAGTGAAACCATTACAATGGTTGTCCCTTACTATTTCCCACCTCAAAAACTAGACTAGTAGTTTGGAATTGAGTTTGAGTATCTTTCAAACATCAAATCTATTTTGATATATATTCTATGTGAGATCGCTATGCATATGCTCTTGGAGAAACTTTGCTATCATCTCTCAACTCAAATAATTGTGTTTAAACTATACTATTCAAGTATTCAGCTAGCAGCAATCCTTCATTGGTACTTCATTTACATATGGAGAAAAACAGGCTACGAAAATAAAAAGACTGCCATTTGATTCACAATGTGTTCAAGTGCTTGTTGTTTTCAGCTCCAGTGACCTATAAGATGTTATAGCCGAGTTCCCAGTTATTTCTCTGACAAAAGTTCTGTCCAAATAGAATGTCTGAAAATTGGTTTGCAAAGTGACTTTTTGGTTTTGCTTTGGGTTAGCATAATGTGTTAGTTTTGATTTAGAGAATCCGGAGAATACTCAAAAAGTAATTGATATTGAGCATGAAGATCGTTACATTTTTTGATAAAGGAATATGCTTTAAGACGAAAAAGACAAATTACGAGAAGAAAAGTCTACGGGGAGAAGATGATTTGGTGGAGATAGTTGCAGGAGACTGCTTCTGGTGAGGCATAGACATTCCTTTGTTCTCTTGTTGTCCTGATGATCCCATTTTGTCCAGGAGTTTAGCTGCTCTTGGATCAGTCAGAAGTGTCTTCTGGAAAGACTGTGAGAAGCCCGTGGCGATTATCGTTACATGAATCTCTCCGGTGTAGCGATCATCCACAACAGCTCCAAATATGATGTTGGCCGATGGATCTGCCAAACTTGTCACAACCTGCAAAAAACCCCAAAAACATGACAAGGCTGTGTGCATTGAAGCAAAGGCGAGTAAACCAGGTCCAAAACACCGCACCTGAGATACTCGGTTCACTTCCTGCAGAGTAATATCTTTTCCACCAGTGATGTTGTAGACAACACCAGTAGCTGATTGTATCGATGATCCAATCAATGGAGCCAAAGTGGCTTGTTCAGCTGCTTCTTCTGCTCGGTTCTTGCTGGAAGAAACACCTACTCCAAGCATTGCAGTTCCGGAATCTTTCATAACTGCCTTCACATCAGCAAAATCTACATTGACCAATCCAGGTATCTGAAAAAGAACAATAGATAATGTTATCAATCAGTGAGCATTCATCAACCAACTTGTTAAGCTCTACAATACAAAGACTCACAGTAATAATATCCGAGATTCCTTGCACTCCTTGGCGTAAAACATCATCTGCAAGAAGAAAAGCGTCCTGAAGAGGTGTCTGTTCATCAGCAATATCTAGCAGACGATCATTTGGAATCACGATAAGGGTATCGACGTTCTTCTGCAGCTTTTCAATAGCTTCCAGTGCCTAGAGGAAAAAAAACAAAATCAGGCATGGAAACCATAACAATACTTACAAGAAGACGGTGTCAACATATTACCTGCAAAGATCTTTTACGTCCTTCAAAGCTAAACGGATAGGTAACAACACCAACAGTCAAATAACCAGCTTCCTTTGATATCTGAGCTACCACAGGTGCAGCACCAGACCCTGTTCCACCACCCATACCAGCAGTTATGAAAACAAGGTCTGATCCTTTAAGAGCATTAGCAATTGCATCTTTTGATTCTTCTGCAGCTTGTTCTCCGAGAAGCGGGTTTCCACCTGTACCTGTAAAATCAAGTAACAGAGAGACGAGTTTTGTTTGTTGATTTTGAATCGAGTGTCAAAACTCGCACAACATTTGATCGAGAGACTAACCAAGGCCACGAGTTAAAAGCTCTCCAATTTGAAGTGGGTTCTCTGCAGAAGACTGCAACAGAGCTTGAGAGTCCGTGTTTATCGCATAGAAATCAACACTCTGTATATAAACAGGAGAAATCAACCATAAACCAATCAAACCCAAAATGTGAAATTCAATGGTTCTTGTTAAAGGAGGGACAAGGAGATTGAAAATGTGACCTGTAAACCGCTTGAAATCATCCGATTGACGGCATTGTT